TTAGTGTAAGTTTATTTTGTTGTAAAGAAAAAAAATTTTTGAAATCCATGCAGTTTTTTCACAATACTCATTTTCCATGAACTTTTTAAAGACCCCTCATATATCCATACTCAGATACATATTACTGCTACAACAGACTAATGCTAATCACCATAGTAATTGTTACGAGCGAAAGACATCTCAGAATTATAAGGTATTAAAATACTCTAAAATTCTATGAACAACTCTTCTTTGTTTAGACTTGCAAACAATTTTCTAAGCTACTATTCTGGAGCAAACAGTGGGGGAACAAAATCAAACAAACTTCAGTTTACTGAAATAGCACTAAATTGTATTTGGTTAAGAAATGTGTATGACTGCGATAACAACAAACAGATGGGAACACAGAACAAAAAAATCTTATTCACCATCTTTGAAAAGAACAGCAGTCAAATTAGTTCTGAAACACAAAAAAGTACCCTCTTTAAAAAAGCTGACAGGTCCCCTAAGCTGTCCAACTGAAGAAACTGTCCTCAAATATGATGTTAATTTTAATAACAAACATATTATTACACCTTTGCCCTCTTACAATCCAGTCTCCAAAGCACAGTAACAGTGATATTCTAAAGATGGAAATCAGATTGTGTCACTGTCCAGTGGCTCTCCACTGCACTTAGAATAAAATATAAACTCCTTTCCATGGCCCTTAAGGCCCTATAAACCTCACCCTTGCCTCCCACACCAAGTCCTCTTGTCCCAGACGCACTGATGCAGCCAAGCTCCAGCCCCTGGCTTGCTCTCTGTTCCTTGAACCACCAAGCTCATTCCCACCTCAGGGCCTTTGCATTTATTGTGTGTTCACTCTGCCTAGAATTTTCTTTCCCCAGATCTTCATATTACTATCTGGTTCCTGGTTATTACCTGAGACTCGGTTCTACTATCAATCACTTCCTTAGAACAGCCTTCTCTGACCCTGTAATCCAGAGACCCTCCTCCCACCTCCATCTGTCATTCTCTATCACAGGACCTTGTTTCACTGTCTTCGTAGCGCTTTCACTGTCACAAATTACCTTCTTTATCTTCCTGCTTTTTAAGTGTCTCCCTCTAGGGGTATGTAAGTTGCAGAGCCCTTGCCTATCCAGTTCACTGCAGAATCCACAAAAGCTGGGATGCAGTCTGTGCAGAATGAATAAGGAAATGAAAGAACTTTCAGGACATCTAAGATAATGGAACTATGGATGGCTTATCACAATTCTCAGGGTTGGATTTGTAGCATCAAGTAATTAAAAGTTTCTTTTGTTTTTTTACAAGTCTTTAAAACAAGCTTGAAAGGCTAAACTGCTTTGCTATGGGTTAATGGCAATATCACATATTACTGATCAGGATATAGAAATGCTGCAACCACTAGCCACTATATTGATAGAAAACTGCAAATACTAATAACAATTTGAATTAAGTAAACATTCTTTAAAAAAAAGTGTGACAATAAATTAGTAATCAAGGCAGTGGTAGTGTCATTAGGGCTGTCTTCAAATACCACAGTTTTCCTCTCCTCCCAAGCACCTGATGGGACTGCATTGTTCCCCTGATCCAAGTTTTAAATTAGATGTGCCCACGAGACCAACTGTGGTCAACTAATGAGAGCAACAGTGTTGTGTGTTGAGACAAAGCCTCCATCATCCTCGGTTCTTGAGCGATTACAACGGCAGAGCCCCATACCAATCCACGTTGGATATGCAGCAAGAACAAGAAATGCACAGTTGCTGTGTTAAGCCACTGAGATTCTGGAGTTGCTTGTCACCTCAGCATAATGAACCTTACTCTGACTGATACAGCAGTACAGCATGGTGATCAGGAATTTGGGCTTTGGAATTTGACAGGCCTGGGTCTGAATCAGAGCTCTTTCACTTACAGTTTGAGGGATCATGGGCAAGCATGGCCACCTCTGGGCCTTAATGTCTTCATCCACAAAATGAAGATTATAACTCTTACACCTCATGAGCGGTTACAGACTCAGTTAATGAAACAATGTATGTACAGTGCTTATCAGAGTGCCTGGCATGTTTGTTAAGCATTCAATAGACAGCAAGTGATATTAAACTCTAGCATAATTCTTCTAGGTCACTATGAGCATATTTGCATTATGGAACTTAGCTGACCTTGGATATTCTATAAAGTAAAGCATTCCAAACTACTGAATGAGAGAGACACTTATAAAGTTCTGAATATTCCTAGGTAAGTCTAGGTAAATGAGAAGAAGAAAAAAGTGGAACATCTCAAAAGTTAAATATTGGCATGGGTATGGAATGTTAATGAAGCAAGTAAAGGACATCTATGATTTGAAAATGGAGGGAAAGAACATGGAGAGAGGGGGCGGAAGTATGATGCCTGCTCCTCCTGCCTGCACCCAGGCACGGCCTCCGAGAGAAAGAGCAGACTCATGTGCATCGCAAGCTGGGCTCTAAATTGAGAAGACACATGATATTGAGAAAAGGGTAAGTGCTGAGTGAAGGAGAGAAGAGACAAGAAAGACAGACAAACCCCTGTGGGTCTAGGGGCTTTGTAGAGCCCCAGAGCTGGGATTAGAGGAGGGCCTGGCAAGCAACCACCTCAAGAAGGACTTGGAAAGCACTGACACGACTGAGCAGAATGCTGCTTCAACAGTGAGTGCTTAAAATCCAGCAGGGTTTGGATTCTACTGTTTCTTCTAAAGGAATCACTTGCAAACATGATGTGTCCACCCCTAGGATCCTTCAGTCCCTAAAACACAACTGGCAGGTACACTCACATATGAACAAATGAGTCTGTGCTATTGTCTTAGAGACCACGCCCATCATAAGAGACAGATCTGACAGCTAAAACTCATCAAAGCAATGCTGTCATTACCTAGAGAGAATAATCCAACCCTAAATAACCATCAGGATTTTAATTGTAAGGCAATCTTATTCAAGTTCAAACTTTCTTAATTTCTGACTTTTTGTGTAGAGTTACTTTGAAGTTTTTCAAGCATATTTTGCTCATTTCCACTGGCTGAAAATGAGAGGAATAAATATGAGAGGGAAAACCATAAACTATCTTGAAATAATTCTTAATTTTTTTAAATTACTGGGACAATTGTTGAAAAACACAGATAGATTTTATGCCATGACATAATAATCAGGTCTAAAGAGCATGCAACTAATACTCTTCAAATAACCAAACTATAATGAAAGATGCTAAAAATTTTACTCATAAAAATGGGCAATTTTTATAATTCATATAAAAGTGTCATCACTACCAGACAATTCAAATTATACCCAAATCAGAAATATGCTAACCATTAGAGACATAAGAGGACATGTTCCCACTGATATCTGGCATTTGGCATCAAAGGCAGCTCTCTGAAGATCTGATAACAAAACTTGTCAAAAGCAAAATGAAATTGTAAAAGAGCCAAAAAAAAGAAATGGCGATTGCTACAACCCTTTGAGCCACATGTGGACTTTTTTAAAACACAAGTTTGTTTGATATAAATAGAATAATTAAAGCAAAAGTGTCAAGTGTAAAACAAGTCTAAACACACTAGAAATTTGACTAGCTTGATATGGCATAAGAATGAAGGCATAATTAAGCCTAAGGTTAAAGGTGTAGACACCTCAAATAAATGACTGCTGAACAGCAATACAACAAGAACAATGTCAACACTGAGCTTCAACTCTGGAAGCATCACTATGACGCTAACCCAGAATAAAGACTCCTCCAGAACAGTTCCTAGGCAGTAGAAAAGCAAGTTCTTTGGACGACCAGGTTCACATTAAGAACCAATCTTAAGATAGGAGAATAAATGAAATCTCTGACATATATATGCATATAACTTTGATGGATAATGAATGCGAAAATCCACTCTGATCTCTTTTCCCTCCCCGATCTCACCATTTCAAAAATAAATTGCCTTCAAAAGTATGTCAGTAAATCTGTATGTTTTAAAATAATAGAAACCATGTGCCCCATGTGTTCACCAGACTCATTTTTTATCATGTATAGTCCTCTGCATTTATTTTTAAAAATCTATTTCTGATAAAGTAATGAAAAGAAATCAAAAGAATCTACTCCAAAAAGTTCACATCTCTCAATGCAGCATGGGACTGAATTTATTAAACTTGGCCACCTAATTAAATTAGACTTGTGATCTCCAGTTAGAAGCACCTGTAAGTGATAAAAATGTGTTCAAAGTTTCAGTTGATGAGGGATACAAAATGTTCTCAAGTCTGAGAGTTTTAAGCTAAGGAATAAAAAAATTTACAAACTTCACATTTTAGATTTTGTCCTTCATATTTTTTTAAAAAATGTACTTATGAAGATTTTAAAAAAGAACATTTCTGACACTCAGAAATTTCAATAATTGCAAGAGAAAAGGTATTGAAACAAAAAAATAAGAATCCTACTCTAGAATATATTAAATCTACCCAACTGGTTCTACTTATCAGAACGCTCTTGGGGCGACAGAAATACCCATCGCAGAATAGCTTTATCTCCATTTAATACCACACCCTCCTGCAAAGAGAAATACATCTTACATTTCAATATCTGCCCTCTTGTTTTTATTCTGTGCACAGGTGCTTAAAGTTTTTCAGTTGATCAGTTGTGGTCTCTAAAAATAACTTTCAATCTTCCCTTTCAACCAATGGATAAATATTTTTAAAAAGTGTTAAAAATGAAAGCTTCAAAACAAACAAAAACAAACAAAACCTCACACTAGAGTGTGGCAAGGGAGAGGTTAAAAAAGAAAGTCTGATCTAAAATCCCTAAAAATGAGTACTCTACTCAAGGATCAAAAGAAATGCCAACCCAAGCAAAACAATGCACAGTCTACTCCACAAACACACACACACACTATGAAAGCAACGAACTAATTAATGGTACAGAAAAACAAAAATGAAAATCTGGGAAAAATGAATGTGTGCATTAATATCTTTTAAAAATCAAAGGCTGGTCTAACATCTGGGTCATGAATTTGTATAAATTCTTATTTTTAAACTCACCTGATTCATTTTCAATTCCTGTTGTGTTCTGTAAAGATACACACAACAAAGAAACTTCTTTGATTACATGAGCCCTAAAAAGAAAAACAGACAATTGTAATATGTACCTGCCTACAAATTTACAGTGATTTAAAACCGCATACAGAACTATAGAGTTTGCTCAAAGGCTATTCATAAAGCAACTCCACGCCAGATCAACTTCAAGCTATGCTGAGAGCTTATTCTCAGATTTATTATCTACAATAAAACAGATTTCTTACTAATCTTTACTAGGGCTGGGCTTCACTGTACTCTACAATTGAAACCAGACTCATTAGAATGACATCAAATTTTTGCTTTGAAACTGCATCATTCCCAGGAAGAAATAAATTAGCTTTGCTGATGGTCAGAAACACAAAGCATTGCTGAGTAGCTTATTATACAAGGTAAGTGTCCTTCTTTTGCTTATATCAATACTGTGTTGAATGCAAACATAATTAGACCCCATTACATTATTCTGCTTTTCAAGTTCCTGAAATAGGTGGATGTACAGTAGGCCCCCTTATCCATGGTTTCCCTTTCCTCAATGTCAGTTACCTGCAGTCAACCGAGGTCCAAAAATATTAAATGGAAAATTCCAGAAATGAACAATTCATAAGTTTTAAATTGCACACCGTTCTGAGTAGTGTGATGAAATCTTGAACCATTTCTCTCAGTCCCACAGGGGACATGTATCATCCCTGCAGCCAGCGTATCCACTACATTATTTGCCCATCACTTAGTAGCCATCTCAGTTATCAGATAGACTGTCGCAGCATCACGGTGCTTGTGTTCAAGTAACCCTTATTTTACTTAATAATGGCCCCAAAGCACATGAGTAGTGATGCTGGCAATTCAGATGTGCAAAAGAGAAGCTGTAAAGTGCTCCCTTTCAGTGAAAAGGTGAAAGTTCCCACTTAGTAAGGAATGAAAACAAATCATACGCTGAGGTTGCTAAGATCTACAGTAAGAACAAATCTTCTATCTGTCCATGAAATTGTGACAAAGAAAAAAGAAATCCATGCATAGTATGTATAGGATTTGGTACTATCCAAGGTTTTAGGCATCCACAGGGGATCTTGGAATGTAGCCCCCGAGGATAATGGGGACTACTGTACTAACATTGGCCATGGAGAGTTCTCTTTGAAGAGAACAAAAAACTTGCAGTAAAACGCAAATGTTTTAATAAAAGATGTTTGGAAAAAGCTACAGTTATTCCTAGAAATTTTTATGTTTAATATATTCATAGCACCACAAAATAATGAGAAGACAAAATCATTTCTTATAAATGCATATGACGTACTTGTTTCTAAATAATAATCTCTGAAGACAGTCCTTTCTCTATCTTAGGAGTCATTTGATGTGATTCACAATACATGAAAATCATGCCACTTTAAGTAGAACTTCCACTGTAATATTTAAATGCTTCCAGCATGTATATGCACATCATTAGCATAACTCTCCTATTTCTTCATGTACTTGCTGATAATAACTTATCTTCCCTTCTTTGACCCACAAGACTCTGCTTACATTGTAACTAATTGTTAATAACCCAAGGAACACATAATTTAATGACATTCTTCATACTGGAAGAATATACTGCCTGCTCACTGTCATAAAGAATAGTGCGTTAACATTTTACATTTTACCCCAGTTCTTTAACAAGAATAGTTGAGTTGTTTTCCTTCTCTTGGGCTATTTACCCACACTCACCCAATCACCTTTAACAGCCAAAGGCTCTATGTTTAAGTTAAGGCCTAGTCATCTGAACTATTTTTTATTCGTAATTGGCACAAGGAATGTATTCCACAACATTGCATCTTGTTAGCTCAGTGCTAGCCAAACCAATATAAACTCTTGACAAGTAAATACTCAGTGAATAAAGTCTCAGATAACTAATGGTTAACTCATGAAGTCCATTCCTTTAAATTTAAATATTGAGCATTTCCTCATATATATTTAACATGTCTTTCCTTAGTACACATCATATATTGAACACAATCGATCCTTTTCTATGAGACTTGAGACTGTTATCAAGTTAAAATGTATATTTGGGTGTAAAACAGTAATGAGGTTAGTGGCCCCTAAAATGTGTACAGCTGATCCCTCAACCATAAATGCCTGCCTGACTACCACCCAGTTCCACTAGGTGGTCCTGTGTGACACCTTATGACCCCAGGTGAATAAAATGTTAAGGGTTTCACTTGCCCTCTTACTAAATAAGGTTTTATAGGTGGATTTATCAATGCTGACTAAGGCAAGTTCTTTTTAAGGAACAGAATAAAAACTTGCAGTAAAATGCAAATATTTTTATGAAAGATATTTGGGAAAAGCTACAATGTTTTACCATTTTCCTTGGTTTGTCTCTTCCTTCTCACAAGAATCATCACCGTCATAACCATCATTCATGAAGCTTCTTCCGAGGACCACAGGGCACTGCGAGGCCTCCACGTAAATTAGCTCAGGCAGTATTCACCAAGGTAAATGCTATCACCTTTAATTAACAAGATTCAAGGAGGTTCATCTAACTCAGCCAAGGCCTGCTATTGCTTCTTAACCATATCTCACCAGCTTTTTACTCCTGCTCCCCCCTGGCCATCTACAATGTCTCAAGCACTGCGCCTGAGTAGTGAACAGAAGGGAAAGAGGGGAAGACCCACAAGAAACAAATACATAAGTAAAATATGCAGTAGGTCTGATAATGAAAGCACTTTAGAGAAAAATAAAGAAGAGTTAGGGAGAGGGAGACAGGAACTACAATCTCTGACTCTGTCTCTGTGCCTGTGAATCCAACAATCTGGTCAGAGACGGACTAAGAAGGAGATGTCTGCACAGAAGCCAGGAAGGAGAAAAGCTGAGAGCCAGAGGGCATGGGGAGGAGCTTTCCAAGGCAGCAGCCGCAAGAATGAGTGGGAAGTCTCAGTGCAGCGTGCCTGGGTGAGAGGGGCAAGGACGCCAATGTGGCTGGTGCACAGCAGGTGAGAGGACGTGGAGGAGGTGGTGGACAGAGGCTGATGCCCAGTGCACACACGAGATGACGTGGCCTGGCCCAGTCAGTAGAGGAGATGTGAGAAGTAACTGGGTCCTGTATATATTTCAAAAATAGAGCCCCGAGATTTGCAGCTGGATTAGATGTTAGGTGTCAAAGAAAGAGAGGAAGTCAAGGATGACACTAGGTCCTAGTCCTGAGGCCACGGGAAGATAGAGGTGCCGTTTTCTGAGATGCTGCCTTCTTCCCTCCATCTGCTTTTCATGTTTTTCTCTCTTTAACAGTTTTCTCCTTTCCCTCACCTCGCCTTTGGTAGTTACTAGCTCAAAGCACAATTCAAACAACTGAACTACGTAACATATGATACCCCATAACTAAAATAATAAAGTACTTAAAACATTTTATTCTTTGATCTCAATGAATCTCAACTTAATAAAAATGGCTACAATATAATTCAGATTGTTACACGATTGATAGCCTGCTACAACTTTCTACCCTATCTGTTCCAACTTTGTCCAAATAGAAATGCACTCATCTCTTTCCAGAGAAACAAAGGTGTTTCGATCGTAACACTTTTTTTTTTTAAAGGTTCAATATACACTTGTGTGTGGACCCATCTCTCTATCACTTCTAATCTGAGTTGCTAAAATCCAGACCCTCATTTTTTTCTCTCCCTCTTGACTCACAACATTGTCAAATTACGTATCTAAAATATTTTACAAATTAAAAACACTGCAAATCTGACACTGACTTCTCAAATGATATTTTTAAATTAAATTCTTTATTAAACTATACTAAAAACAAGGGGTATTAAAAGAAAAGTGAGGCTTTGGGCAGAGTCTCTCAACAGAGGACCTGCGTTTTGGACAGTACAACTCTGTGTGAGACTGTCCCTTCCATTATGTGCATTTAGCACTGTGCTGAGCAGTCAATGCTGGCAGTGCCTCCAATCAGTTTGACAACTGAAAATACCCACACATTCTCAAACACACTCCCAGTTGGGAACCCCTGAACTGTAGCAATCATGTGACTAGCTGCAATATGATGTGTTTTAAAGCAACCATAGACTAAAAGTTGTTGTTGGAGTAAGGTCCTTAAGATTCCTTCGGCACTGCTCAAAACCCTCGTGGAAGTGACCCGGCAATTCCACATAACTTTCATATACAGTATTGACTTCTATAGCACTTAACTGGTATCTCAAGGTCAAAGTTTTATCAAATATGAGAAAATGAACAATAAATCCTACCAGTGCAGAGGCAGAGAATTATCGTTCCATGCATATCGTTGAAACCTTAACTATTCTATCAAAATTTTTTAAAATACTAAACAATTAAGTGCCTCTGGTTTTCTAATGGTAGATACGGAAAACATTAAAATCCCTAACTTCCCTAACCGTGGCTGATGCCTTAGTTTCTTTTCTGGATTTCCATTCCTGACCAAAGCTTCTTGAATACCTCTACAGCACCTCTTGAGTATGTCTACGTATTGCTCCTCTTCCTCATTGTTGATATTTATCTGGCCTGGGTGGAGCAAATCAAGTACATCAGATAGATATACAAATTTAGAGCATGTGAATTTTGATCACCAACTATACTAACAGCATACTCTTGGAAACATACTCTTAGAAAAATAAGAGCCTGATCTCTATTTTACATATCTAAGGTTTTAATAATATGCAGGTACTTAACTTTTCAAGATATTGCTTTCAAATTCTAGAACAAATAATCCTTACAAATATTTAACTTATTAATATTATAAAGATAATTTGATTATAAATGATCAGCATCAATATAGCAACAATAAAATAATCAAGGTCTTTATTCAAATACTGGTCCCTTAAAGTATCAAGGCAACCTCAATACCTTAAGCTGCTGCGATCTGACACCGAGATCCAGAGACAGAAAATCTAGAGATATACTGGACACTCCTGTCCCTGGGTCACACCAGCCCTGCTGCCCCAACCCTATTTCCATCACCTATCTCCCAAAATAAAGCAGATTAATCTAAAGACAGACATGAGCTAGCATTGATGTA